AAAACCCTGATAATATTGACACTAATAATGATAAACCATTTTAGTATAGTGCATAACACGTTACATAATTATGTTCCTAAGTGCTTGGGAATAAAGAAAAGCAAATATAAAATACTGTACTAGACTGCGGAGTTCCTTTTATCTATTTTACATTTGGAATAAGTGTGTTTAAGCGCAGACTTAAACCGATGACCAGTTTTAGATTACAGCACTTATATGAATAAGTTATTATTGGACAATATGTTTTCAGTGAGGCATGCTCTCTACAAGTAACCAACGTTGAGCTATAAATAATGCTTGATAATATGTGATAACAACTTGTCGAAGTTATACAAACTCTCCAATTATCTGGGTGCTATACGAGTTGTCGGCTTCCCGTTTTTTCGGCAGCCAATGCACCGAACTTTGATTGTAGATATAGATACTAAAATAGATACTCGACTTTACGGTTGATTCTCGATATCATGGTTGTTACTCTTAATCATCCGTACAGCCTTGAAAGATATTGAGAAGTGATAACTTGTAATTAACTTGTCATGGTGAAGTGCAATATGGCTTTCTTGTGTAAATTCATATATTTATTCCATATGCAATCAAATTGCGTTTTAAAAAAGTGATCAGAATCTCATATGGTTACTCAGTCATAATTGATGTTTGTTAAAAAGTATGAAAGGCACGAATAACTTGTGATAATTGTGTTCCTGATGTGAAAGTTATGATTGGTTGTCAGCAAATAATACGAATTAGTAAAAGGCGAATTAATGATTCTCTGGATAAACGGTTGAACCACAAGCATTCTTTTAAATATTTCCATGTTTTAAAAAAAAATGGACAGTACTGCTGTATAGATAAATAATCTGTGGGACCAAACTAGTGCTCGCTAAGAACGAGAAGTGATTACTGTTATCTTCAATGTTTAACTCGTGACATACCAGATAAGATACAGCTGTATGATAACTGTGTAGGGTAAGTAAGTATAGGCTTCTAATTAAAACAAAATTGTATATGATTGTTTCAGTCTTATATTTAATACGATAATGATCTTAATGGAAAGGAACTAATATGTCACATCTCTCTCTCTCTCTCTCTGTTTCTCCCTCATTCTCTCTCTCTTTTTTCTCTCTATCTCTCTATTTCTCTTAATCCTCCTAAATCACATTACATTGGGTGTTAACGCGCTTCTCATTCAAATACAAACTACTTTTACCTTCTTACTTTTCAGACCGTCTCTCTCTCTCTCTCTCTCTCTTTCTCCCTCATTCTCTCTCTCTATCTCTCTTAATCCTCCTAAATCACATTACATCGGGTGTTAACGCGCTTCTCATTCAAATACAAACTACTTTTACCTTCTTACTTTTCAGACCGTCATGGCAAAAGCAGTTTTTTTAACCAATATAATTACATACTGTCAAACCTGTCTATTAAGGCCAACCACGGGAAACAGAAAGTGTGGCCATGTTTATCTCTTTTTACCACCCTCTCTCTCCCTCTCTCTTTCTCTCTCTTTTGTGTCTTCATTAGTTGTATACTGTACTAGTAAAATATAATCTTCTTTCTGTTCAAAGAACACTCTATAACACACTCGCTCTCTACTTTTCTTTCTGTCCCATTTTTATTTTTCCTGTACCTTTCTGGTTGTTCCTATGTCTCTGTCTATCTGTCTATGTCTGTCTGTCTCTCTACCCCCTTCTCCTAATCTATAAGTAGAGACATTTTACCGGAATGAAATAAATGTGTAGGCCCTTGCCTGTACAGTCCAAAATTATAACGGTATACCGGGTTTTCAATGAAATCACGGTGATGATGAATATTATTACTTTATTGTTTTGTATGACTGATGTCGTACAATGTCGGAAACTACACAAATCAAGGTTCTGATTACCTCATAAATGCAGGCACTTTGTTATTGAATTGAGAGTACTGTGTAAATCTGGAATAAATATGTTCACAATTGAAAGTTGCACAATTGCATTTCTTTCCTTCTATATTAATTTCCACTGGATGGTTGAATGTACATTGAAAAGGGGGTGTTTCGTCATTGAGCACGGAGAATAAAGAGAGTGTTTTGCATTTGAATGGCAATGCAGTCTTTTGTATTTGTTGAGAGGAACGTGTCGGTGCCAAGTTTTGAATAAATAAAAGAGAAATAACAAGAAAATTGGGAATGTTTTTTTTTTTTACCACACCATGATCACTGCCTTCAGAAGCTCATAATTGCCATTGCGGCGCAGATTGAGATTACAAAGAGAGAGGTCGAGAGAGGGTGAAATATACGAGGAAGAGATGAGAGAGAGAGAGAGAGAGAGAGAGAGGAAGAGAGAGAGAAAGAGAGAGAGAGAGAGAGGGGGGGGGAGAGAGAGAGAGAGGGGGGGGGGGGGTGAAAAAGAGAAATATAGAGTTTCCTCGCTGTGGCAGTGTTTTGATTCCGCGAAGCTATTTTGATCAACGGGAATCCATACTCTAAAAGACAAACAAACATAAAATAAAACAAAATAACAACAACAGGTTTCAAGTGGTATAATTGATTTCGAGGGGCACAGTTATAATATAGCTAGGGGAAACATTTTTCCTTTTGCACTTGATTTGAAGTCAAAACAAAAGTCAAAGGGAATTTGTAGCTTCCTAAATTTTTTCTCTTTGATTTAGTCACAGTCCCTTTCCATGAAATTTCTCACTCTTTCGTTTTCACAGTCCCCTATCCCAACCCGTTCATTTGTTTGAATACTTGATAAAGGATGATTTTCCCGCTATACAGTGTAATGCCTACTTTCTTGTTTGTTGCCGTTTTAGTTAGTTTTCCCTTCTCTTTCAAATATTTTTTTGTTGACGGGCCTATCGTCGAAAAGAGAGAAAGAAAAGAAAAAATATTTTATATGTATCCATTGAGGGTAGTCATGTTTTCAAGCTTTGCTTACTTTGTCAATCCTCCTGTTTGATGTTTTCGATCAGTTACAACCAGCCTTACTTTATTCTATATAATTCTTTTGTCATGTGTAAATTTGCAATGTTTTGTTTGTTATGTAATTGTAAAAATTGCAAAAGAAAAAGAAAATCAAACAGAAATAAATAAATCAAATCAAGATATAGCGCATTTTCCATATATAGGCCTAATGTCCAAATGCGCTTTACAATAGCCCGTCTGCACTAATTTGGCCAGGGCGATTAGACTTCCCTACAAGGTTAGTCCAGATTCAGTCCGTTCGTTCTTTTTATCCCCCACACACAGCGCGGTCTCTCCACTGATCGCGCAATCCCCAAATTTTCGTATTCAGGACCCAGATTTAGAGGAATGGCTAGGTCTACTTTCAACGTTGAGGGTGTGTTATTTTATCAGCTGATTTGGTGCGCTAAACGAAAACGGTACAGAGGCTGGACTACTACAAGGTCACTGACAGGGGGTTATATCTCAAATCAGCGCTATATTAACATAAAAAGAGAATCATGGGGGACGTACAACAGGCACCGATTAGGCACTGTTTGCTATACTAGGGCGCAAGTAGGTAAAAGTAGTACTGTACTACTTCGGTGGAGACCTTTTTTTTTTAAAATCTATTTATTTCCCAAAATATTCATAAACTCACCTATCCTCTTTGCCTCTTTAATGACCCATGCATGCACTGTAACCAGGAAGCTGTAATGAATGGAGATCCCGTCCAAGAGGCCCCTTTGAAGTCATCCGTGGCACCGCGCGTCTTTTGTTTCCCCTACCGTAATCCCCTTAATCCCCCTCCAAAACCTTACAGCTCCCTAGTAGCACTAAGTCCTCCCTTTCCACACACAGCCCAGCCCAGCGAGCACGGCGGCTTTTGCTTTGCCGGCCCGTACTTTGGGTGAATAGTGGTGCTAACTTGACAACTTCTAGCCCTAAATCAATAAATGCGCAAACATACAACACAATTTCATTTAGTTCTTTAGGAAGATAAACCTTTGGACTACCTTCCTAGCTATGTACAAATTTCGGAAATTTTCGGAAAATGTCAATAATTAGATGAGAAAATCATGATTATGAAAATCTTTCATTCGCTCTAACTCATGATTTCCTTGGTCGATTTCGCTGGTTAAAATGGCCATGTCTTCAGTAGAGCTATCCGAGAACGGAAGACGCATTTGATGACTAATAGAAAGTTGCATTGGTCATAATGTTGTGAATTCTGCATTTTATATGTTATAGCTAAATACATCTTCCATGAACATGACTTAATTTGTCGGTGCCACGCATGGCTTCAAAGCCCGATGCTTGCATATTTTTGCAAACGAGTGAATAGAGAACTTAGGGAAACAGATGGCGTTGCGTAACATTTCGTACTATTTGGAATGCCAGAGAGGGACTGTGCATTGATATGGACAGCTGTTGATGGAAATGATGGCTGGAGAGGGTTACATTTCTTTTTGTTAAGCCAGGTTAATCTTGAATAATTTTCCCTCAGAAAATTCTTTCGAGATGGTATCTCCATTCATTACAGCTTCCTGCTGTAACAGTGCATGCATGGGTCATTAAAGAGGCAAAGAGGATAGGTGAGTTTATGAATATTTTGGGAAATAAATAGATTTAAAAAAAAAAAGGTCTCCACCGAAGTCTCTATTAAGCGCTATAAACAAACAAAATACGATGATAAACAATTACATAATATTAAGCAAAACAAAAAAATACAAATAATCATACAAATAAGCTGTTGCTAGCTACATTCTGCATGGAAGAGGCAGTGGCAGTCACGAAGAAAACAAAGAACTATATATATATATATATACTGCCCCATCCACACCCTCCCCTGATCAACTGCCTTGTTCATTTGACCCCCCCCCCCCCCCCAACCTTTGATGCCGGGGACGGAGGTACCCGCTCTAGCTCTCGTCCATGCTCTCGATCTCGGCCTCATCACAATCTCTCGGGTATTTCATTCCTCATTTGCCTCTTAAAAGACACCATGCCATCATTGGCGACAATAGTCAAATCACTGACTAATCGCCAATAACTCAAAACACAACAACAACAACCTCATACATCTTTCATAATATTCGATTCATCACAAACTATTTGAGAGAAAGGACGAGAAAGATGTCGAAAATGTGGCGAACCATTCCATGTCATATCTCAGAATTACGTTTGGATATCACCCTTGCCTGCGGACAAAGCTTTAGGTGAGATAAATCGTTTATAAATAATGATGCAAATGAGACAAATAATGATAGTTTTACTCAGTTTGGTGGTGTAGCTTGTTTGACAGAGTGCTGCGCCGACGCGGGACCGTAGGCGCACATGTAACACCCCGTACTCCGTAGTCGCTTGTGTAGATCTAGCGAGTAGCGTGCTGCTGAGCTGAGCTGAGCTGAAAATTCGGCGCTAGTGTAGTTCCGTATCCATTTTTTTAGCAGATTCATATCGATTCTTAGCAAAGGAATTTTAGCCCAATTTTTTACTAATTTTAATCATAATTATATATTGCATTTTCCACCTGAATTTGGATCACATCCGACATCGGGAAGCCTCTGTTTGGGGCTTCGATGTCGACGTCGTCGCTCAGAATCGTCTCCGCGCTATAGCTTTGCAACTCAAACTGAAGCTATCAGTCTAAAATTATGCAAGCTTCGCGTGTAGTTTATGATATTACGCACATGCACGATACCATAAAGCATACGCGAAGTTTGCATAATTTTAGACTGATACTAGCTTCAGTTTGGCTTCAGTTCAGTACCGGTAGACTGTAGTGTAGGCCCTAGACAGAAATAACCGTCTGGTATGGGTCATTCTTTAATAAATCTGACATTTGTTGACATTCCCCATACACAGAGCATGCAGAGGGTAACTCGTACGCGATACGCCTCACACCACGGGAAGATCTAATATATTATTATAAAGTTCTTTTCCCATTTTTTATATTATATTATTATGAGGTATATTACTCCGAGTCCTATCTATATTTTCCCCCAATTTAGTGCGGGGAACATATGGAACTCTAGACAAGTCTACCCCCATTCTTAGTAAAGGAATTTTAGCCCAATTTTTTTACTAATTTTATTTTGAATCATAATCATATAGATCTATCGCATTTTCCACCTGAATTTAGATCACATCCAACATCGGGAAGCCTCTGTTTAGGGGTTTGATGTCGACGTCGTCGCTCAGTACTGTCTCTAGGCTATAGCTCTGCACCTCAAACTGAAGCTATCAGTCAAAAGTAATGCAAACTTCTTGTATTGTTTATGATATTGTGGATGTGCATATTTTTCAAACTTTTCTGCTATGAATATGATTCAAATCAGTGGATTTTTTTCCATGAGTTCATGTAGATTGAACAAACAGATTATGTTTGATTAGTGATTGCTAAGTTAATAGTATTGGAGTGGTCAATGCTTTTTTAAATGAGTGGTTTATTATCATATTTTCTTCTGTTACAAGATGGAAGGAGATCGAACCAGGAACATGGAGGAGTGTTCTTGCAGGTAGCGTCTGGACTCTGAAGCAGACTGATACTCACATCTCGTACCAAATTCACAATCCAAGCACACACCAAGAGGTAAAGGCATGTGGTAAGAGTGGTGATGAGCTCAGGGTCCAGTCCCACAAGAAGAAGAAGCGAGGAGCTGCTCCGAATCAAGACTGCGAGAGCAAGAAGAGGCAAAAAATGACATTGAATGGTGGAGGAGACGAGTGTGGGGTTGTCAAAGGGGCAGAGGAGGATGACAAGTCCTCTAGCGCCATTTTGCGGGATTACCTCCAGCTCGAAGTAAACCTCGGAGAGCTCTACAGCCAGTGGCAGAAAGCAGACAAGAACTTCTCCAAGGTGTCCGAGAGTTTCCCCGGAGTTCGTATCCTGAGACAGGACCCTGTGGAGAACCTGGTGTCCTTCATCTGCTCATCTAATAACAATATAGCAAGGATCACTGGAATGGTGGAAAAATTGTGCCAGCAATATGGAGATGAGGTGAGCATATTCGTCTCTCTTTCTCTCTTTCTTGCTCTCTTTCTCTCTCTGCTAGTCTTCCTATGTCAATCTCTCTCTCTCTCTCTCTCTCATTCTTATCACCTTCTCTCCATCTCTCTTTCTGCCTATCATCTCAATATCCTCATATGAACTCTGGCTTTCTCCCACATCTTCCTATCATTTTCCTCTCCTCTATTTCTCTTTCTCCCCTCCCCCTACCCCTCTCTCCCTTATTCTCAAAAATGTACATTTCTATTAAATATTATTAATTTTATATGCACTTTCTAGGAATGACTTTTTCTTCAAATTTCACCCCCAAATAATCCTACTCTAAATTTGCAATTTGCTAATTCTGCTTATTGATAAAGTGACCATGATACTTTTGTTGATTTCCTATTTTTAGATATTTAACAGAAAAATCAATAAAATTTTTAATTATTTAACACAAAGACTTCATGACTAGCTACTTTCAAATTCATTCAGAATTTTGCATTTGAAAGTTCTATTACTTTATAATTCCTGTCCAATCACCATGAAATACTGTCCAGTACTGTCTAATGCATCTCTTTCCATGTAAGTCCTTGAATAAACCTGTATTTATTACTATATAGGTGGCAGTATTAGATGGTGTTTCATGGCACTCTTTCCCTTCCCTGGTGGCTCTGAGTGCCAAGGGTGTCGAGGACACACTGAGGAAGATGGGGTTTGGATACAGAGCAAAGTTCATCAGTCAGTCGGCTCGGATGGTGACCGGGGACCTTGGAGGTGAAGAATGGTTGAGGGGTCTAAGAGACCAACCCTATCAAGAGGCTCACCCTGAACTGATGAAACTTCCCGGTGTTGGGGCAAAGGTGAGGTGCATAATACAGTATGTCGGTGTGAAAAATTCCTTTCTGGGGAACATCTACAGAATCCCCAATCATACTTGTAACCCTTACCCTGATCGTAGGGCTTATCCGTGACCCTAATCCCAATCCTAGCATAATCCTAACCTTAATCCTAACCCCTCATCATGACCCTTGCCCTAGCCTTAATACACAGTAATGATGCATTTATTGTTGAGGTATTCTGCAGGTAAGCCCTTCCTTGGACACGAGATCTCTTATGGAATTTACCTTTAGAAGACTGAGACTCTCTTGTAGCTATTTTCATATACCTGGTATAATTAGTTAATATTACCAGAGCTCTTTTGAAGTTCACCATATATAACATTGTTTCATGCCGTCTCCTCGTTCCAGGTTACATAATGTGTTTTCTGATGTCATGAGATCGCTTGTAGGATTTATTTTCGGAAGACTGAGATTTTCTTGTAGCTATTTTTATATACCTGGTATAATTAGTTATTTACCTGAGCTCTTTTGAAGTTAACCATACATTGATATATATTTTAAATCGTTCCATGCCGTCTTTCCAGGTTGCAGATTGCGTTTGTTTGATGTCCTTGGACAAGAGAGGGGCTATACCGGTAGACACCCATGTCTGGCAGATAGCGTCCAGGGATTACATACACACACTACAGAAGACCAAGACACTGACGGACCGCACCTATCGTCAGATCGGAGACTTCTTCAGGGAGCTGTTTGGTGAATATGCCGGCTGGGCACACTCGGTGAGTTTGAAGAATATTTAGAGGGGTCAGTGACATAAAAACGTAACTCCATTTTTGCCATTTTGAGATAAAGTGGTCTACATGTATGTGTCACTGAGCACATGGGCCGTAAGGAGTTAAGTCTATGTTTCAATAGCCATTGACTTCAATGGGGTGTTGGATGGAGTTAAATCTTTGTGTTTCCTGGAAAGCCCACATTTTTATGAACATTTCGATATCGAATGCTCATTTTAGCGAAATATGGAGTTACGTCTTTTTTTTCATTTGTTCATTTATTTTCATATCCATAAAAACAAAAGATCATTACAACAATATACATTATATAAAAAAAATTACATGCAATCATACAAGTTAAACAGTATCAAAGATACCAAATTTACTAATTGGAAATGAGAAAAGGGGAACTAAAATAAGGCCAAAGGGCCTTGTAAAATAAGTTCCCTAAAAGTATAAATTATCATTTGGTTTTTCAACTTATTCTGTTACTGAAAGAGATGTAAAAAAATTTAAAAACAAGCAGTGGATAAAAAACAAAACAAAACAAAAAACAACAGAAAAACAAAAAAAGCCAGAGGAACAGCAAAGTCTAAAATATGGTTATGTTTTATGTCAGTATTAATAATAATAATAATAATAATAATAATAATCTAATAGTCCACTCCAAATTTTATTAAACCGAAACGGAATTTCTTTTTGCCCAATTGATCGTGAGCCCGGCAGCCACTGAGCAGCGCCAGTGGACAAGTAATAAATTTTCAGATATTTTTTGAATAATCTTTGGTTATTGCAAAGGGGAATATATTTTGGTAATGAATTCAAAATCAACGGGAGATTACACCGAGGAGATTTTTCTTCATACATAAACATAATTTTACAACAATGAAAATTGGTTCGATTTCTTGTGTTATAATTATGAATACTGAGATTCGTAGGGAGCATGTTCGAAATAGTATTTGGAAGAAGATTATGAAAATAAAGGAAACCTAGCACTGACGTATGATACAGATATAAATCAAATATATTCGAGGTTTTGAGCTTGAAAAAAAGAGGAGCGGAATGAGCAAGATAATGGCTACTGGTACAAATACGCTGTACTTTTTTCTGTAATTTAAATAAGATGTTCATTTTTAGTTTGCCACAGTTACCCCAGACACTGACACAATATGATAAATGTGGTAATACAAGTGCATTATATAATGAGAACAGAGCATGATCAGAGCATGATCTGACAGATAGTCTTTGTGTCACTGAACCTTCGATTTGAAGCTTCCTATTAGCAAAATGGTCAGCAATTCAGAATGACTCTGAGGACAGTTTTTCTAAAATCGAATTCCCCTGTAAGTAAGAAATCAATGTTATATATTTTTTTTGTTTTAGTATTGATCTCTTTTACATCATATTATTTGCATGTATTTTTTATGGTGCATTTTTATTTGTAAATTTAAGATGTATCAGCTTTGAGCTGTGACTTTGAATTCTTGTCAATAAATCTGATCAATTCAATTCAATTTAATGTTGTCATATTAGATAGCATTTTCTATTTAACCTTGTAGAAATGTGATAGCTACAATGGCAGACAGAAAGTATCGGTGTATGTTCATTTTCATTTCTTTACTTCTGATTTTTTCCTCTAGGTCCTATTCAGTGCCGATCTTAAGAAATTCCAAAAATCACCCAGCACTAAACCAGAGGGTAGAAAGAGTAAAAAGGTAAAGTGATTCTCTTGCTCCATATCAAACTCAGATAGAGTCAAAAATTTGATGGAATCTGAGGGTGATTTGACTCTATACAGTACTATAAAAAGAGCCCTCACACATTTGTATTCTTATTTTAATTGATAATTGATGTTTATATTCATGGAACACAATCATTTGACCAGCTAGTTGTTTCACAAAGACTAAGATCGACTTCAAATTGGACTTGCCGTTCATGCCACTGTTTGCTCTCACCATTTACTGGTATTGGTCTCTCAAGGGACGTACAAATCATGGTCACAAATCCACAGAATTTACATTTTTGATAGTTCATTACTGAAGGAAAAATACTATCTAAAAATCATAATAGTGAGAGCAACCAATGGCATGAACGGCCTGTCATAGTTAAGTCCAACTTAAAGTCGATCTTCGTCTTTGTGAAACACCCCAGATTAGCTGAACAGTACCCATTGTATATTTTAACCTATCTCCCATATATTTTGTCAATGCAGTATGAACTCAGCAATCACCCATTCAATATGTTGGGTGTATTTTAGGAGATTGTCTTGTATTGTTTTGAAATGATATCAAAAACAAATTGAAAAATAAGTCAATCTGAATTTTAACTGTATATTTAATGGAATGAAAGCAGCATTTTAACGTTTATCTACACAGTTTCCTGTCATGAAATTATGTTCCTATATAATCAATCATACTACCATAGTATATTTTTTATTGATATAATTAAATTGTATTGTATTTGAATGAAATCAAATGCAAATTGAAAAAAAACAAGTGGATCTGAATTTTAACTTTATATTTAATGTAATGAAAGCAGCTTTTTAAAGGTAAAGACCAGTATTGGAAATGCCCCAATTTCAAAAAATGAAATGGAAGCTCTCATTACCAATCATGTGAAAGAATATGTTTTGACTAATACATGATGATAAAAAATTTGCCGGGAAACCGCCTACTAATTCATATATTTGGTAAATTTGTTTCTCTCATGGTCTGTGAGAGATATAGGGTAGTCCCATATACATCTTTCTGTGTATAGTGCTTGTAACTTTACGAAGAATGGGCCAAATTTCTTATCATTTTGATGATTCCAGAACCTTGCAGATGCTAGATGCTAGATGATCAACCTTTTCTGATCGATTCCACAACGTTTCTTTCACAATGCAATCGCATGACCATAACTGGTCTTTACCTTTAACGTAGATCTACACAGTTTCCTGTCATAAAATTATATTCAAATATAATTAATCATAGTATATTTGTTATTTATATAATGTTATTGTCTTGTTAGCTTTGGAATTAACCACTTGACCGCTGAAGGCTTTTTCAACACTGTACCACTCTGTGCTAAGGCATTTTGAGACACACAGAAATCTGAACATACAACCCACATCTCTGATTTTCTTGTTGTGAAAGAGCGCCATCTACTGTTCGTATTCTAAAGTTATATATAGTATAGTATGGGGTAGGTATTGCGCCATGCTAACAATTTGAATGTGGAGAGGACGTAGCACATAGTAGTATGTGCTTAGCGCAGAGTGTCACATCTGCATGGACGTAATAGTACGTGCTTAGCAGTCTAGGGCTTGAATCAAATTAAAAGACAAGTGGATCTGAATTTAAACTGTATTCAATGGAATGAAAAAAACTTTTTAACATAAATCTACACACTATCCTATCATGAAATTAGGTTTTAATTTAATTAATCGCAAATACGATTAGAAGCTCTTTAGATGTACTTCAACTCTGGAGTTCTTTTGTACACATTAACATTGTGTGCCAGCATTAGTATGAGTTCAATTTCCCAACCCTTGGTCTTATTTTTCATTCCCTTGAATCATGCAGGAACAGCAAAACAAGAGGAAAATTCAGATGAAAGAGTCACCGGTCAGTCATTCGGTCAGATGACATAATTCTTCATCAGCTCTTGTGCCATGTCATCTCATCTCTGCCGATATGGAGTTCAGTTGTGTTCTTGTAAATCCTAGGCCTTCATGAGAAATCACCTATTTAGTATTGACTTTCAGCCTTGGTGACTATACCATTTAACTCTATTTAAGTCTTGCACTTTTCAAACATTGCAATGTGTCTAAATCAGGATACATTATCAAAAGCTAGCCTTTTGTTTTCTGTACCCAGATGGGCCAGATCTGTAAATATTAGATTTTGTTGTAATAAAGTTTTTATGAACGGTACACATTTCCTAATTTATATGTATTTCTGTGCTAGTATTGTACTGTAGGTATTAATAATTCATCCATGTACAGTAATTGCAAGAGTCACAAGAAGGAATGGAAGTGTATTTCCATTTGTCCTTTGGATCGAGAGAAAACTTTTGAAAATCCATTTCATTTGAATTCCTTTTCCAGACCTATGTAAAGGGATGGAGAGATAAAATGAGAATTAAAATGTGCAACTTACTTTTTCAGGATTATTTTTCCAACTCTCATGTGCAGGCATATCTTGCAGCCATTTAAAGATAAAGTTGAGCTCTGGTCATGCTAGCGATTGCATTGTGAAAGAAACGTTGTGGAATCGATCAGCAAAGGTTGATCATCTAGCATATATTAGTATTGGTGTGTACTGCAATGTTCTGAAATCGTCAAAATGATAAGAAATTTGGCCCTCGTCTTGGTAAAGTTAAAAGCACTGTACACACTCACAGAAAGATGTAATTGTGACTACACAAACATTTTTATGATGTTACATGCATATTAGAATATTAAGGCATTTGAAGAGCCATGCTTTTCAGGAAACAATTTTTATCTGATGCTCTTCCATACTTGCATAATTACAATGATAGCGCTCACTAATTATTTTCACCTCTTCCCAGAGCTCGACCTTCTCTTTAAGAAATTGATGAAAATTGGACAAAGTGATTAAGAGGCTTGCCAATATTGGATATGGATTTCAATAGGAAATGCATTATTTATGGGGAACAAGAAGGTGTGAATGATGACTTAGCTAGAAAGGATGTGGATATGAAAAATTTATATAGCTGTGAAAGATAGAGAGAGAGAGAGAGAGAGAGGGGGGGGGGGGAGAGGTAGAGAAGGAGTGAGAAAGGGCGTGATAGGGAGAAAGAGAGAAAGATAGAGAGAGAGAGAGGAACACAAACACATAATTGGTATATCATACAACATCATACAAAAGAACAATTTCATTGAAAAAGTCTTTCATTCAAGTTTGTGGAAATGCATTTGAAAAGTAATTGAATTTTAACAAAAATTGAGGGAAAATGTATTTCTGCAGTACTACAGCAGACATCACCTCCAAATCACTAGTTTTTATGTTCTAATACTCTATCAATGTTTCCTATTATTAAGAACAATTATTGTCAACAAAGAACATTAACTAAACTGTGGAGATTTCATTGTAATGGGGTTGTGAGCACATTAAAAAAAAAAAAATTAAAATTAAAAAAATCTGTGCTTGAAGCAGACCCCATTCTCAATCACTTTGCTGGACCGAACTACGCTAGATCGATCCACTTGACCATTCTAGAGTTACGGTTTGTTTATGTTTACACTCATCGTAATTGTTACCCTGATGAGACATGTTATTTAAAAGCAACAGGAACGGTAAGCGGACACTTTTTTTTTTTTTTTTTTTGGTCTCGGAAAAACAAAAACGGGGGGGGGGGGGGGGGGGGGTTAGTTTTTTTTAGGGGGTTTACACACATAAAATACCGAAGGGGGGGGGGGGGGGTTTGAACCCCCCCCCCCCCCCCCCCCCCCCCCCCGCGTACGCCCCCGTTTGCATGATATGTTCCTACTGTAATGCTACTGCTTGATAGTACTAGTCGACCATCTGACATACACCTGCTATTGGCCGTGTATTGCTGTGTACTCTAACTCTTCACCGCTAGTGCTCTCTCGCTAGAACCATATTTTACTAGAGTCTACGTAATTTGAGCTCTACAAGTACAAGACTCTGCTAGAGCCACGCCCCTCGCTTCCTTCTAAAATCTTGGTTACTTTGCTTCGTGAATTTCATAATATTGGACTCTCGCTCTACCTCTTCGCTGCGCCTGGCTTTCTCTACGTAGCTTTACTGGTGTTATCTGTGAGTCTCCCTTCCTGGCACCCCGCCCATCCTCGCCATTCAAAGAAAAAAAAGCATGGCGGCAGTAAATATTGATGAAAAGAGTCAAACGACCAGCACAGATACTAAGGCTCTCACTTCAATCAACACAGTCGATTTGGAAGACCCAACAACCATACACACGCAAAGACTGTATTCCCTAAATAGAACGAAAGCATTACAGAAGAAACTTGTGAAATGCCAAGCAAACACAGAAATAGAAATGAAGGATAATGGTCGACAGATGGTGATCTCCTGCAGTACAGCGTACTACGAGTCTCTCAGAAGAAACATCATCCAATACTTCAAGGGGATCAATGAGAAAATGAATTCCATGGCAGTTGAATTACGCAATGTAGCGGATGCAGATGGTCACATTGTAGAACATGTGATAAGGGTTGCGGCCAATATAGGCTAAAATATACTGGAAACCCTGGTCTGCGAACAAAATTTGTTTTAAATATGTATAATACAAACAATCGAATCCTGGCAAATGGCAAGTGCCTGAACCTGCTAATTAAAGATCATCTTCCTGAGGTTCTCTCAATGACCGGGAGAAGTGGGCTAGTCGCCATTGCTGAGGAAAATAAGAAAATAGCCGAAAAGCTATCACTCCTGATAAAGGGATCGGCAACCACAGCGCTCAAGAGGTGTATTACAGGAATGAACACTGCAGCTGAGCCATCTACAGCTACAGATATCTGTGAATGCACAGTCAGCGACAAGAAACTCCTCTGCCCACAGTGTAACACTCACTCATGTATGGAAACCATTGAATGCGATCAATGTAATAACTGGTATCACTACACATGTGTGAACCTCAATAAGGAAGACATCCACAAGTATGTCAACAACATCTCCCTTGCTTACACCTGCCCACCATGCACGTCGCTGCATGAGCAGACAAATACAACAGCATATGGACAAGAGTGAAATATCGCAACCACACAGGGTCACGGAACCAACGGAAACTACAGCACTTGTCACGGCAGTACACAGCGCCCCGCCACCAGAGGGCAAACATGAGGCCTCACCAACATATGATGTAGACCCTCACATCAAATACCCTCAACAAGACTGCAGTTGTGAAGAACAAGACAAAACCACTATGTGTCCAAGATGCTCAAATCATGCCTGTCTAGATACGATGCTCTGTATGCTGCAAGTGGTTCCATTTCGCTTGCACTGGACTGTCAGATATCGAACTGGAAACACTATTAAAAAATCAACTGCGGAATTCCTCTGCACTACATGCAAAAACATCACCAATACCCAGTATACCACAAAGGGATACTTCGACTCCTATCTCTGATGACAAAATAATAACTGGCTCAGAAGAGGACTGCTCCATCTGCCCAATCTGTCGTACTGAAGCCACAAGCGACTCAGTCGAATGTCTTGCCTGCGAAAGCTGGTATCATATGTTATGTGCTGGCATTACCACATCGGAATTCTCATCTATCCAAAAAGACAGCTACATCTGCTCCTCCTGCACACTACTTGACCTCACAGCAGCTGGAGGTGTACAAGTAAATATTGAGGAAAATGACAGCCAACCCTCAACTACGCAGATCGCCAAAGCTAACTGCAAGACATGTAAAGATCATGTGAAACAAATAAGTAAACTGAAAGACGAAATAAACTCTAAGTCTGCTTCTGTAGCCACTCTTCTAATAGAAAATGAAAAACTAGCACTGGAACTCAACCAAGCTAGAAGAGAGACTCAGCTAGCTGAGGAACAAAACCAAAAGACAAGGAACATTCTGGAACAAAAGCAGAGTGACCTAGCACATGCAAACTTCTTGAAGACTCAACATGAGCTGGATTTCAACTGTATAGTAGCCCACAATGACTTTCTGTACGGAGTCTGCCTAAAGCATGGGATCAATATCAGCCAATCAGAGCCGGTAACCAATCTCCCAAAACGCTATACCAGCAAGGATTGTAACAACCCAAGGGAAGCGCACCGTCAGAGCAGTCAGAACAGTGAAACATCCCAACACTACAGCATACCAACACAAAACCGGTTTTCTGTGCTCTCGGAGACCAATGATGCTCCACCTGGCGGCAAAAATATCCCCTTGCACACGTGGTGGAACTCGACAACAAAATGCAGCCCTCCACGAGGTAACCGCCCATCAGGACAGAGCAAAAAGACACCCGTTCGCAGTTATCCTACCCCAATCAAGCATCACCACCAAGTCACGAACGCGCATTCGCCAAAAAGAAGGCCTAACAAAATTTCTCACAATGTGCACGAAAACAAACCCAAAGACAGAGTAGAGAACCCTACTAGAATCTATACTTCCACTTTTACCTGACAAGGCCAAAGTGCAGGGGAGATGGGCTGGACCCAACCACAGAAGCAGCCGCCCTCTCACATCAGAACAAATCTGCCAAGATACAGGGGACACCAATCGCCAACACAGCAAGTTCACAATAACAAACCCAAAGACAGAGTAGAGAACCCTACTAGAATCTCTACTTCCACATTTACCAGACAAAGTCAAAGTGCAGGGGAGATGGGTTGGACTCAACCACAGAAGCAGTCGCCCTCTCACACCAGAACAAATCTGCCAAGATACAGGGGACACCAATCGCCAACACAACAAGATCACAATAAATCTCCTCGGGGCTAAGATGACAAAAGGACTCACATCTCGCCACCCATGCTTCCTCAGCATCAGATCATCACAAACGAGACCCCAGTCATTAACCAACAGAAAAAGTCGCAGCCACTCAATCCACTACCAAGCCATTCACCAACAAGACTGCACGATACCTCACCCACAGGGGATACATGTACTCCAGCAAAAGGAGCTCAGCACACCGCCAATCCTCAGTCTCCCGTGCCGGTTTTTCATGGAGGCCGAGCCTCAACAACTGCTCACATATCCCTTCTCGATGCAGCATACCATTCACTCATGTACACACCCCAGCTCCTCTCAGCACCAGAAGCGAAAAGCAATCTCAACATAAACAGAATGGTAACAACCAACTACCACCACATCATAGACCTTGTTCAATCAAGCCTCGTCCTTCTAACAACCGCATAAAAACAACAAATATTTCATTAGGAACACTGAATGTACGTGGAATACAGTCCAATCTA